ACAGAGATCCGCCTGCCTCTGCCTCCCGAGTGCTGGGATTAAAGGCGTGGGCCACCAACGCCCGGCCCCACAATGCCTTTTAAAGTGCTTCTTGGTGTAGATCTTAGAAGCTGGAAAACATAATGAGATCTGTGCTGTTCCTAATTGAGACAATAAGATAGGTAATGACAAATTTGAGTGATAGCATGAAGAGGAAAAATTAGTATCAGTATAAAAGTGGTATAAGGTGGAATCTGAGGGTTGGAAAGGAGAGTCCTCTCACTTACACTAGAAGCATTTCATGTGCTGATATGTATGTTCCATAATATGGTAGTATATATGTTCCATGGTTTATTCCTGTGCTCAGAAAAGTAACTGAGTAATGACTCTGGAACAAAAGTCATGTGTCTAGTGTTCAGTGATCACTACAGCACTCTTCCCCCTTGTAAATCCTCACCCCTCAAATAGGTTCTAGACCTGGGAGCATGACTTTAGTGGCTTATAATCTATGGCCCCAAGGAAGAAGCTGTTTGGAGATCAACCTTTGTGGCTACTTCAGAATAAATTACATGTGTATGCATGTGGAGGCCAAAAGTCAACATCAGGTGTCCTCTTTTTTTTTTTTTTTTTTTTTTTTTTTTGGGGTGAGACAGGGTTTCTCTGTGGCTTTGGAGCCTATCCTGGAACTAGCTCTTGTAGACCAGGCTGGTCTCCAACTCACAGAGATCTACCTGCCTCTGCCTCTCGAGTGCTGGGATTAAAGGCATGCGCCACCAACGCCCGGCTCAGGTGTCCTCTTATTACCACCTTTCATCATCATAATCATCATCACCATGGCAGCAGGTCCCGGTAATAGTGCAGGTGTGTGTGCAGTACACATGTAGACACCAGAAGTAGCCACTGGGCTCCATGACTCTCCCTATTACATATTGAGGCAGAGTCTCACTTGAACCCAGATTTGCCTAGTCTAGCCAGCTAATGTGCTATGTAGATTCCCTGGGTCTGCCTCCTACTTACTGGGATTATGGCCAGGCCACCTAGTCAACATTTAATGGGTGTGGGAACTTAACTCCAGTCCCCAGTGTTTGTGTGGTACATGCTCTACCTGCTAAGCCATCTCCCAGCCTCTGTCTTAATGGATTGAGACAGTCACTTACTGAACCTATTAGCTAAGCTGGCTGGCCAGTGAAGTCACTGTGCGTCTTTTGGCCCTGCCTGTTGGTGGGAATATAGGCACTCATTGCCTATATTAATTTTTTACAGTCAATCCCAGTTCCCCCTTCCTCCTCTCCCCCCACTACCCCCACTCCATATCCCATCTGCTCTTTGGAGAGGGTAAGGCCTCTAGGAAGTCTACTAAGTATGTCCCATTATCTCCTTGAGGCAGGACCAAAGCACCTCCCCACCCACCACACCCTGTGTCTAGGCTGAGCAAGGTATCTTTCCATATAGAATGGGCTCCACTAAGTCAGTTTGTGCATTAGAGTTAGACCTTGGACCCACTGCCAATGGCCTCATATATTGCCCCAGCCACACCATTGTCACCTATATTAAGGGAGTCTAGTTCGTCTTATGCAGGTTCCCCATTTATCAGACCAGAGTCAGTGATATCTCACTAGCTTGGGTCAGCTGATTCTGTGGGTTTCCCCATCATGATCTTGACTCCACTGTTCATATTATCGTTCCTCCCTCACTTTGCTTGTACTCCAGGAGCTTGGCCCATTGGTTAGTTGTGTATTTCTGCATCTGCTTCCATCTGTTTCTGGAAGAGGGTTCTAGCTTCTCTGGGGTTGTGGATTGTAGGCTGGGTATCTTTTTCTTTATATCTGGTATCCATTTATGAGTGAGTACATACTACATTTGTCTTTCTGGGTCTGATTACCTCACTTGGTTTTTTTTTTTTTTTTTCTAGTTTGCCTGCAGATTTTAGGATGTCATTGTTTCTTAGTACTGAGCATTACTCCATTGTGTAAATATACCACATTTTCTTTTTTTTAAGATTATTTATTATATATATAGTGTTTTATCTGCATACATGCCTGCAGGCCAGAAGAGGGCACCAGATCTCATTATAGATGGTTGTGAGCCTCCATGTGGGTGCTGGGAATTGAACTCAGGACCTCTGGAAGAGCAATCAGTGCTCTTAATCTCTGAGCTATCTCTCCAGCCCACACATTTTCTTTATCCATTCTTCAGTTGAGAGGCATCTAGGCTCTTTCCAAGATCTGACTATTACAAATAATGCTGCTGTGAACATAGTTGGGCAAATGCCCTTGTGGTGTGAATGTGTCTCCTTTGGGTATATGCCCAAAAGTGGTAATGCAGGGTCTTGAGGTAGGTTGGTTCCTAATTTTCTGAAAAATTGCCATACTGATTTCTACAGAAGCTGTACAAGTTTGCACTCCCACCAGCAATGAAGGAGTGTTCCCCTTTCTCCACATCCTCTCCAGCATAAGCTGTCATTGGTGTTTTGATTTTAGCCATTCTGACAGGTGTTAAGATGGAATCTCAGAGTGGGTTTGATTGGCATTTCCCAGGTAACTAAGGATATTGAACATTTCCTTAGTGTCTTTTGACTATTTGACACTGTTCTGTTGAGAATTCTCTGTTTAGATCTGTACCCCATTTTTGGATTATGTGGTAGTTTGATGTCTAGTTTCTTGAGTTCTTTGTATATTTTGGAGATCAGCCCTCTGTCAGATATGGGGTTGTGAAGATCTTTTCCCATTTTGTAGGAGAGTCGTTTTGCCATGCCCAACTTTTAACTTGGATCTGAGTTTATATTGTGCTTCTATAGCAAACATGGTACCCACTGAGCCATCTCTCCAGTTCGACTGTCAGAAGTTTTTGGTTTTGTTTGTTTGTTTGTTTCAAGACAGGGTTTCTTGGTATCCTTGGCTGTCTTGGAACTCACTGTATATATCCAGCTGGCCTAAAACTCAAGAGGTCTGCGTGCCTCCTGAGTGCTGGGATCAAAGGCGAGCACCACCACTGCCTGGCTTAGGTCAAAAGTAATAGAATAATACACATAATAATAAAATAATTCACATTACAGAAGTTGGTATGCTCAGGTTAAATGTACTTTGTAACTCACAGCATAGACAAACTTGTAAGGCAACAGGTTCTTAGAAGGTTCCATGTGATATTCCTGTATGTATTTAGAGTGCACTGACTAGCGTAAAGGTCACGTCCAAGTTTTTCTTAGAGGAATGTTTCCTGTGTAGCCTTGAGTTACCGGGAACCATGCTGCCAAGAACAGTGGGCAGGAATGAGTCTTCAGTAAAAGGATGGCCTTACTTCAGTATTGGCTGGCTGATGGCTATGAAGCTGTCCTGTTTGGTGGCTCTTTTGCTGAGAATATGGGAGAGTTGAGGAGACCACTTAAATGATTCTAATTGGGGGGGGGAATGGATGTGTCAAATTTACTCTTAAAATTTAGCTAGAAATAATTTACTGTTGGCCGTTTCTAAAGTATCAATAAATGTTATGTGACTTTTAAATCCATTGTAGAATCAAAAGGCCCTGTACAGTTTCACTGCTTGTCTGTAAGTTATATGATTGTTTATATTTTTTTTTTTTTTTTTTTTTTTTTTTTTTTTTTTTAAGACAGAGTTTGCCTGCATAGTCCTGGCTTTCTCTAGCCTTGAACTTAGAGATCCACCTGCCCATGCATCCTGAGTACTGGGATTAATGTTGTGTGTCACCCCTGCCTGGAAAATGTTTGATTGTACATAACATCCATCTTTTGGGGGATGATGCTTTTGCTGTTTTTCTTTTGTGAGGGGGTTATAAGATTGTGTGTGTGTGTCTAGAGTTTTATAAGGAATATAAGTTTCACAGTATCTCTGCTGACCAAGGGAAGAGCTTTCTAAAGACAGGAAACAGCAAGGAAAAGCAAGGTGTTGCACTGGATTGCCTAACCAATAGAAAGGCTAGAATCTACAGTGTGGTCTCAGATTTCTGTAGGCTTAGAACAGCTTGGAAACCCCAATGTTCTTGAGAAATTAGGTAAACAGTGAAATATTTTTAATTAATCTAATTTTGTGTTTCTAAAGAAGATGTTCTTTGAAAAGGTACATTGCATGAGGTTTAATTGTATTGGGAATATTTTCAGTTGTTTTGGAGCTCAGTGGCAGGTACATGAATTTGTAGCCTTTGAATATATACAGTGCCTTTAAATACAGATCTAGCAATTGCAACCTTCTCTCCTGGCTGTTTCAGGAACACAACTGTGACATGGCTGTACTTAGAGGCACCATCTTTCCCTCTCTTCTGTCTGGGCTGTGCCAGTAGCTTCTCTTAGGTGCAGTGAACCCTATGCTGTTTCTAAGATGCCGTTGTCACTTACTTGGTGATGGGAGGTCTACCTGCCTAAAGCATGCTTTCTTTATATTTCAGTCTGATAGTGGAGGAGCCTTTAAAGGTTTTAAAGGTTTGGTTGCACCTTCTGGAGGAGGAGGGTTTTCTGGATTTGGTGGTGGCTCTGGAGGGAAGCCATTAGAAGGACTGACAAATGGAAACAGCGCAGCCAGTACCACATCCTTCTCCAGCACAAAGCTGACAGCAGTGGAGCCCAAGGCAACTTTTGGTGAGTAGCCCTCCCACTACATTCCCCTCTGAAATAGATGCTGAAAGAGAACTCTTTCCAGGTTGTTTTTTGTTTATTTTTTCTTTTTGACAGGGTCATTCTGTGTGGTCCAGGCTGACCTTGAACTCCATCCTCCTCTTCCAACCTTCCAAATATTGGGATTCTGTACTGGGATACTAGGATACTGTGGTGTGTGCTACCAGACCCAGCTGGTGACATATTTTGAGTGCTGTGTCCTGGGATGCATGGAGCAAATGGGCCACCAGAATACACCTCTGCACCAGCACACAGCGATTCTGTTCTCAGCTCTGCCAGTTATTTGCTATGTAACTTCAGGGTCAAGTTCCTACCCTCTGAGTCCCTGAATTGATTGGCAAGCAGGAAGCACTTTTGTAGACTTAGGGTTTGCCTTCCTGGTTCATGCACATCAAAGCCCTTCTGTGTACCTCCCACCATGATGGCCATCGGAAACTGGGGTGACACTGTCTTTGGTCACAGTTGCCCAATCTAGGTTTGAACAGGAAATCCTGAATACCCAATCCTGTTTTGGATAAGTTAGTCAGCAACTTCTGGGATTTACATAGAGAACAGGATCATGGGCTGAACCCTAAAAATGATCCTGACTGCTCTGAAAGTGTATGCTGTTTAGTGTTTGTTGTTTTGAGATGGGTCTTAACATAGCTCAGCTGCAAGAGCCCAGGCTGGGCTTTAGCTGTGTAGTGAGGCTGACTTTGAAATCCTGATTCTCCTGCTTCTAACTTCACATAGCAGACTGTAGCCATGCACCACTCATTCCCTCTTTAGTCCTTACTACCAGAATGGACTGAATACACCAGGTACTCAATTCCTCAGCATTGGCTTATGAACACAAGCTTGGTGAATAGTAGCAGGGAAAGCCAAGCATGAGGGTAGTGGTACAAAAACCTAGTTGTAGATGGGCCTGGTGGCACACATACCTGCTGTCCCAGCTCAAGAAGCTGAAGCAGAATGGTGAGTTCCAGCTTGCCTTGGACTACATAGCAAGACTGTTAAAACAGTAAAAACAAGCCAACCCCTAGGTGGTGTAATCAAACCACTTCTAAAGTGTTTGAACTTTAACTTTCAGGTTCTTTTGCTGTGAATGGCCCTACTACCTTGGTGGATAAAAAGATTTCAAGTCCCAAATGTAATAGCAGCAATCAGCTGTCCTCCTCTGGCCCTGTGTCCAGTACAGTTTGCTCTGGGAGTGCCTATCACAAGCAGTTGGCTGGCTTGAACTGCTCTGTCCGGGATTGGATAGTGAAGCATGTGAATACAAACCCACTTTGTGACCTGACGCCCATTTTTAAAGACTATGAGAGATACTTGGCGACGATTGAGAAGCAGCTTGAGAATGGAGGCAGCAGCAGTTCTGAGAGCCAGACTGACAGGGCATCAATTGGAATGCAGCCTCCCTCCCTTTTTAGTTCAACAAAACTACAGCAAGAGTCACCATTTTCGTTTCATGGCAACAAAGCAGAGGACACATCTGAAAAGGAGTTTACAGCAGAAAAGAAATCAGACACAACACAAGGAGCAACAAGTGCCTCGTTTAATTTCGGCAAGAAAATTGAGAGCTCAGTTTTGGGCTCATTAAGCTCTGGCTCCCTGACTGGGTTTTCATTCTCCCCTGGAAACTCTAGTTTATTCGGTAAAGATGCTGCCCAAAGTAAAGCAGCCTCTTCACTGTTTTCTGCTAAAGCACCAGAAAGTCAAGCAGGAGGCAGCAGCAGTGAATGCAGAGGTAAATACCCGTTTCACATTTGTGCAGGTCTAATGAGAGCATCCATCGCAGGGGCTCCACTTCCTGTGTGTGTCACAGTTGCTTAGTCTTTATGCTTAAAATAGAGCAAGGTCTGTTTTATAGGTGTTAAAAGTGCTGAATGAGGTGGAGGTGAGGTTCTGTGGGAGGGATGGCATGGTGTGTACCAGCAGCATAGCTTCTGTCTGTATGAGGTGGGTCACCAGGCAGGCAGTGAAGGTGTGTTAGAGATGTATGCAGTAGAGGCTGAAGTTCTAATATGCTAACTGAAAAGGCACAGGGCACATGGTGTTGAACATAGAAGAAGCAAATTAAAAACTGTTTTTATAATTTTCCTGAGCATGAGTACCTTTTGAATTTGATTGTATATAGGGATTTGTTTGTAAATGAGATGCTCCAGCACCTGCTACAAAGGAGGCTCACTCCATCCTGAAAGAAAGGCCCTACTATTGTATACCCAGTGTGTCAGGTCTTAGCAATGGGCACAGTTGAAGGATTTCTTCTGAGACACTAGTACCCACAGTGCTCATGTGTATTCTGCATATCACTTCAGGACCAGTTAGTTCCAACTAGTAAAACTTTCTAAAATGATGGGATGCACTGTGCAGTGTGGCAGCCACTACCTGTGCCTGGGTAGTTGCATACTTGCATTGTGGCTAGTGATGCCGAGGGAATAGATGTCTTATTTTGTTGTTTTTCTCTATGTAGCCCTGGCTGTCCTTGAGCTTGCTATGTAGACTAGGCTGCCCTTGAACTCACAAGAGATCTTCCATCTTCTGTCATCCAAGTGCTGGTAATGAAGTTGTGTGCCACCACCACAGCCAGCAAGTTTCTAATTTTTGACACAAATAGTTAAGTGTTTTCAATAGCTAAATATTTCTGGGTATAAATAATTGCCATCCACTACAACGTGTCTATAGGAGGGGGGAAACCCAAGAAAAACAACTTTGAATTGCCTGAGGCTGCAGCAGAAGTAAAATGAGGGAAACAATTATATGATGCCTAAAAACCTCTGGACATCCAAGAGGACAGTCAGCCATGAAAATGCCTGTGGCGTACAGGGGACATCTGGAAGCTCAGCAGCTGATTGCCTTGATGTCCAAGATATAAAAATGTGGGGCTGTTAAGAGCTCTCCTTGCTCTTCCATAGAACCCAAGTTTGGTTTCTAGCTCCAGAGCTCTTCTGACCTCTCCAGGCCCCTACACGCTCATGTGCACAGACTCACATACATGTAAATAATAAATACAAAGATATAAGGAACTCAATACAAGGAAACAGATAGTAAAGAAAATGGTGAGGATGACATAATAGCTTAGGCTATAATTAAGACTTTCCCTGACAGCAGAGAACAGAGCTAGCATTCCCCTCAGGTATTGATGTGGCCTTCCTTCCAGAAGGCTGCATTGTCTGGGTGACAGTTCTGCTGTGGTTCTTAAGCTTTGGGTAAAGTCAAATCTAGGCCTTCAGTCCCAGCCCTTGGCTTCCTCTGCTCTTGGAGTAGGCCCTAACACAGTCCTCATGCATGTTAATGTTCTCCAGGGTATGTGTGCCTGTTTGCCACTGAAACACTGTGCTGTCCTACCTGGGTCAAGCACCACTGTTCCTTGTCTGAACTCCGGGTAGATGGTCCAATAAGCACCCCTTCCCTCCACCCTTGAAAGAGATTTATCATTATGCATACAGTGTTCTACCAGTGTGTATGCCAACATGCCAGAAGAGGGCACTATATCTCATTATAGATAGTTGTGAGCCACCACCCTGTGGTTGCTGGAAATTGAACTCAGGACCTGTGGAAGAACACCCAGTGCTCTTAACCTCTGAGCCATCTGTCCAGCCCCAAGGGGCCCCCTTTTATTTCTCCTCTGCCTCTAAATAAGAGGAGAGTGTCTCCCAACATAGGCAGGCATATCATGCCCTTTGTTGCCATCTCGTGGTTACTACATCTTACTATCAGAAAGACTTGGAATTTGTTGAAACAGCAAATGTCTGGCCTTCCAGGAACACCTTCCCCAGTCCTGGGAGCCTCAGCTAAGAAATCATTTTGAAGCTTGCCAGGAGAGCCTACTGGCCCTAGTTCTCTCTCATACTGGACCTTAGTTCAGTCTTTTGATCCAAGTCCTTAGTGTTGCTTTAGTCTGGTAGGTTTTACACAGCTGCCTTTTTCTTTGAGAGGTTCCTTCCTGTTTGTCAGAATTGTCTTGGGTACCCCTTGAAACTGAGGCTCTGTTGAAGGAATGTGCCCTTCCTGCCCCTTCCAGTGAGCCAAGTCCCTGTAGTGGCAGTTCAGTCAAAGCTTTGGAGCAATTCCTCTGAAAAGCATGGCCTGAAAAACAATCATTTTTGTGCTTTTGGCCGTTGTTGATGCTGGTTATCCCTGGGCACAGTGTGGCTCTGGACATAAGAGCATTGGCAGGGATGGTGTTGGGTGTCCTTTTTAGGTTTTGATTCTCCACTGGGCACCCTGAATATGTATAATTTTGTATTTAAGTGTGTTTTGATGAATGTGATAAGCAAGAATGGTTTTCATTCTAGAGCTTTCTACAAATGGAATGTTACTTTATAATAGAGAAATATGTTACTGTTAAATATTTAAGTTTGGCAAATGACTTAGCAGGTAAAGGTGCTTCCCTCTAGGCCTAACGACCTGAGTTTGATTCCAGGAAGCCATATGGTAGAAAGAAAGAGCCAAATTCCACAAGTTGCCCTCTGACCTCCACACGGTACACATATGTGTGCACACACACATGTACATACACACTAGATAATTTTAAAATTTCACAAAATAAAATCCAGCTGGCACCTCTTCCCCTAAAACAGCAAGGTGTCCACAGTCATATTTACCAGCTTCTGTGGGGTATTCCTGGGTGATGTTCAGGGTGGTGAGGAGCAGGCTTCTGCTAACTTAGCTGTTTCTGTGACAGGTGGCGGCGATGAAGAAGAAGAGAATGATGAGCCACCCAAGGTGGTAGTTACTGAAGTGAAGGAGGAGGATGCTTTCTACTCCAAAAAGTGAGTGGGCCTGTGGGAGTTGCAGGGGAAAGTGTCCCACAGATCTGGCTCCAGTCAACTGAGCTGCAACATGGAAGGATGATTGGCCTATTTGGTTATTTTTGTTTTTTTTCTAGACAAGAGTTTCTGTGTAGTCCTGGCTGTTGTGAAACTTACTTTGTAGACCAGGCTGGCCTCTGCCTCCCCAGTGCTGGCATTAAAGGCATGTGCCACCATCACCCAGCTTGGCCTGTTTATTTTTAAAACAAGCCAATTCTAAAGATGTGCTGGGCACATCCTAGCTCCTCTGTAAAGCGAGCTGCTTCTCTCCCCGTGAAGTGCTTTAGAAACATACTTCATGACCTTCTTCTCGCTCTCCTTTTTTCTCCTTCTCTCACAAAAAAAAAAAAAAAAAAAAAAAAAAAATCACCTTCTGCTGTAAACATGGAGGTGGCTGTGGTCCCTAGGATGGGGTGGGCCTTTCTGTGGCTGGGCAACCACAGCCAAAAAGTTAGGCACAGCTGTTCCTTCCTGTTAAGGATGTATGAACCTGCCTCTCCTCTGCTGGTCTGAGCTGCCTCTCTGTGAACAAGGCTGGAAGGGAAATTTAAATTCTGTTAGGAATTAATTGTACTGAGATATTTACTGGGAAGCATTTATCCTGAAAACGAAGCTTCCGGTAATGTTTTTATAACAGACATTAGAGTCTTTCCTATGTTGCAGATGCCATGGGCCATGGAGTTCTTGTTTTATTTCAAGAACTTTTTGGGCAGTAACAATTTTAATTTTAATAATACAAGTGACACATAGGGAAGATCCTGACTTTCCAGTTTTGTTTTGTTGTGTGGGCTTCTTCATTGGAGCAAGTCAAATGAGCAAGCTTGTATTTTTTTGTTTTTCGAGACAGGGTTTCTCTGTGTAGCTCTGGGACTCCCTCTGTAGACCAAGCTGGCCTTGAACTCAGAGATCCACCTGCATCTTCCTCCTAGTGCTGGGATTAAAGGTGTTCACCACTACAGTCCAGCTTAATTTTGTGGTTTTTGTTGTTTGTGTTTGTTTTGAGTTGGGGTTTAATTGTGCAGCTCTGGCTGACTTTGAATTCAAGACCCACCTGCCCCCACCCCTGGAGTGCTAGCTGTATTTTAGGGGCTTCTGTTAACATATAGGCTTGGAAAACAGTGCCCTACTTTATCCAGAGTCACACCTTATTCCAGATTTATCTCAATATCTTAGGGGATCAAAAATGTAAGGCCTAAAGAGAATTTGAAAAAAATTATTAGGGGAAAAGCTGGGTGAGGGAGATGCAAGACTGCTTGGTCTGTGCCTGTCCTTAAAGGGCCAGTCTGTTTTGCTACTCAGGACCAGGGCACCTGAGAGGGCAGCAAGAAGTGGGTCACCTGAGAGGAAAGATGGTCTCAGGTGTTAAAGGGTTTGTAAGGGACTGTGATTGTTCCTCACTAGCAAAGTTTGCCTCAGTGCCCACAATCCTGGATTCCATGTCCAGCACTACAAAGAAAGGCATGGGGGGTGGGGTTAGATTCTAGAATATCTAACTAGATTATCCTACTCTGGTTTTTGAACCCAGGTAGATACCATCAATCTGGTAAAGATTTATTATCCTCTTACCCACCCACTGCAGTTGATTCACAGAAGATGGTCAGCAAACATTCTTGTTGAGTGTCTGATCGTGTCTGTTGTTTTTCCCACAGGTGTAAACTATTTTACAAGAAAGACAATGAATTTAAAGAGAAGGGTGTGGGGACCCTACATTTAAAACCCACAGCCAATCAGAAGACTCAGCTCTTGGTGCGGGCAGACACCAACCTAGGTGGGTACAGAGCCATCACGGTTCATACAGAGAGCTTTGTCTTGACCCTGCAGTTCTTTGGATTTTGAAGCTCAATAATAGGGGTTTGTTTTGTCTTATAGTGATCATGAGGTCAAATTTATATTCTGGTTACTAATATGGATGTGATTTGAGTATCAAGAACATTGTGTACACAGTGTAGGTGTATTGTTAAAAGCTATAGTGGAGCCGGGCGTTGGTGGTGCACGCCTTTGATCCCAGCATTCAGGAGGCAGAGGTAGGCGGATCTCTGTGAGTTCGAGGCCAGCCTGGTCTCCAGAGGGAATGCCAGGATAGGCTCCAAAGCTGCACAAAAAAGTACCGCAAAGGGTTTCTTTCCGTATGTTGGAATGTGGCAGAAGAGCAGCGTGCATGTGGGATGGTTTGGTGAGCAGAGTTTAAGGGGGTCTTTGTGGGAGGGGAGTTGGTACATGGAGGCCCAAGGTTATTAGGTCTCATTCTTTAGCTGATCTCTACCTTATTTTTGGAATAGGATCTCACTAAACCTGAAGCTATTGATCAGCTTGGCTGGCTGGCCAGCCAGCAAGTCAGGGATCCACTTGTTTGTGCCACAGCCCTCACTCCTACATCCCACCCCACCCCTTCTTTAAGGTGGGGTTACAGGAATGTACTGCTGTCCCTAATTTTTTACATGGGTTCTGAAGATTTGAATTCAGGTCCTTGTGTTACATGCTTAGCAATGGGGCCATCTCCAGCCCTAGAGAACATTTGTTTATAGAACAAGAATACCACGCTGCTGTCCCCTCTGCCCCACTCCAGCCAACCCTTGCAATAGTCCATTAAAAGAATAGCTCTGACAGCAGTGGGCCTGTGATGTGTGGTCAGTAGTGGAAGACTGCCAGGCATCACTGCAAGACTTTTAGGGTTCTCTTTCCTATGACTTGACTTTGACAGTGTCACTCTAATGTCACTCTTGCCTAGGGGGAAGTCTGGTGAGAAAAACTGTCCTTTGCTGACCCCTTAAGTCCCAAGAAATGGTAAAGGTCAGGGTTAGCCAGTAACAATCTGAACAAGGCTCCGCCTTGGAGACTTCGGGGTGTGTACATCTCCCTTAGTGCCTGCCAACCCCTGGCTCCTCTCCAGCATAAAGAAAGCCTTTGTGGCTATAACCTTTAACACACTGAGAGTTGCTTTAATGTTGACTCTTTAGCCTCTTAAAGAATTCTACAGTTTTGATATTTATTTTATATATTTTTATGTGTTGTTTTGATAATTAATTTTCCTTTGTTTACTCAAAGGCAACATACTGCTGAATGTTCTGATTCCACCCAATATGCCGTGCACCCGAACAGGGAAAAACAATGTCCTCATCGTCTGTGTCCCCAATCCCCCACTGGATGAAAAGCAGCCCACAGTCCCGGCCACCATGCTGATTCGGGTGAAGACGGGTGAGGATGCAGATGAGTTACACAAGATTTTACTGCAGAAAAAGGATGCCTGAGCACTGAGGCTGACCAAGGAATGTTGCCACATTGCTGCTTCCCCTCTGCACCCTAAACTTAGTCACATTCTTTCCTCTTCTTATTGTGACATTCTGAGAACTTTTAGGTAATGGGAACTTCTATGAGGAAGATTAAGGCCAATAAAACCTCTGGGTGTATCAGCTCTTCTCCTTCCTGAGGACTAAACAAATACATTGAAGTCAAAATTTGGGAAGATTTTTTAATGTTGATTCATTGAGTAAACTAACCTAAGTGATTCTTAATGGACTGCAATCAGGGTACCAGTTAGCTCTCCAAGGCTCCTTCAGGCAGTGTGGGCTCCGCCTTCCTGCCTGCCTCGGGAGACCCCATGGCAGTGTCCCACGGCACCCCAGAAGACACCCATTTGCTCCCCTCCTGTGGGCTTGTCTGACCCATGACTAGCACTCCTGCCAAACACCATGCCACCACACTGTGACTGCACTGAATTGTTTGTGTTGGGTGTCTCTGTTGGGCGTCAGCCTTTTGGCAGGTGCTGGCCTTTGACCTGGGGCTGCTTGACTGATCCAAAAACTGCCTTTTCATGAAAAGGACATGAGTGGTTCGTGGGGGAGCTGGCGATGTAGACTGGGTTTGTCATTTTTATCCAGGAGGTGCTCTTATTTTACCCTCTCAGTTAATGTGGAAGGGGCTGTCAGGAAGAATGGACTTTAGAAGCACAAATTTGGTAGCTTTTTTATATCATTTCTATACCACAAACAAGCCTTTATTTTAAGATAAAAGTGAAGCCGTGCTGAAAAGGGATGTGTGCTCATGGCCGTTGCTGCCCTGGTGAGCCCTACGGGCACAGCCTGAATGGAGTCCTCAGGAACCATGCATTCATGAGAAGCAAGAGTGTGGGAGTGGGAAACCGACAGTTTGGTCTGTAGCTTCAGACAGCAGCATGTTACTTGGCATCTGAAAAACTCTTTTTTATTTTTATTTTTTTAAGGATGAGATATTGAGTGTGTCTGTTTGGAAGAGAGCCATGGTTCTGCATGGGCCATTCATGTCACGTCAGAGTGGTGAGGTTACTAACACTTCATTTTCTGAAGACCAGACATCAATTAAATGCAAGATCTGATGCCTAGCTGGTCATGGTTCCCACCTGCAATGCCAGTGCTGGAGAGGCTGAGGCAGGAAGACAGTGAGAGCTAAGCAGCCTGAGCTATAGTAACCCCCCCCCCAAAAAAAAAAAAAGATTGAATGACTAAAGCTTCACTCTTAGTCCTCATCAAACCATTCAACACTAGGACCAGATCTTGTCTGAAGGCTCAGGGTCAGTGCCCAGGGGTGCACACTTGTATGCTCAGTCCATACATAATCACAAAACATGATGGCACAGTTCTTCCTCAAAACTGCAATGTTGGGGGTAGGAGTGAAACCTAGTTCACTTTTACTTATGTAGCCATGGCTGGTTGAGAACTCAGATCTACCTGCCTCTGCCTCCTGAGCCCAAGCTGGTTAACTTTTGTTGAGGTGGGATGGTAATGTTACCACTTTGTTATAGGGCTCTGTGCTCAGCATTTTGGCATATATCCATGAGTGGCGTGCTTGTGCTTTGTTGGGTGTGGACCTGAGGAGGTGCTGTGCATTTATTTGCCATTTAACATTGAGAATTAGTTTCTAGCAAGTGAGTTGCTTGCTGCTTCTGTTACTGCTGGCCCTGACCTGTTCATATTGGGTTTGCCCAGCTTTCCAAAGATGAAATGAGGGGATCACATTTCAGAACAGTACCGTGTAGCCGCATGCCCATGAGGCTGACTAGTCAGACTCTTGGGTACTTTCAGGAACTTGTCTATTTATGGTGGTGGGGCTCTGTGAGCATCTGCCCATGCCTTGAACATTTACCAAAAGAGTAAAAGCAAAAAAGGTCGTGACTGGATTGCCTTCTAAACGTCCCAGCCCATTTTAATTGTAAAGTAGTGGGTGTAGCTTTCCTTTTCCTAACATTCCCAGCAAAGTTTGCTGCTAAGACTATCACAACGAAAATTACAGGGAGGGGAGAGGGATGTGACCGAACTCAGTGTGTCTTGTCTTTATGCTTTAGGAGCTAGCTCAGCACTCTGCACTTAACCTGAGTGTGAATCACTAGAAAGTCTGTCACAGGGAGGCCCCTGGAGGGCTCTGTTCTCCCTTAACTGTGTTAGTAGCTGGTTCCAACCCATGGCTTAAACTTCATTTACATTTTAACATGTTAGAAATTTGCCTATTGTGTGTTTAATGTGAACTGAGGTTTTTATCTTTGGTTTGAAAAGTATGTCTTTCTTTTATTTGTCTGAGGAAGTGTGTGTTCTTTGTTGTCAGGGTGTGTCTAGGTAGATGCTGAGCCTGGGCCTTCTCACACTGTATCTCATGATTTCGCACATTCCCAGTCAACAGTTTCAGCCCTGCACTGTCTTCCTTGGAGAGCCACACCACACACGCTGTGGCTGTTAGTGACAGGTCCAACTGCTGATGGGCTTATTTCTCTTTCACAGTTTCAGTTCTAAATCCTATTTTTTACATGCTGCGTGCCAAAAAATAATACCTGCTGTGGCGTAGAGGGAAAACCTTGTTGTCAGGGTTTTCCCTGACAGCCTCCTCTACCTTTTCTTGAAGGTTAAGGAGTCTGTTCTTGCCAGTTTGTTCACTGTTATTACTATTTCTGAAAATGAGGCTGCAGACTATCCACTAACACCAAGTCTCATTCTAGAAGTGGGATTGTAAGGAAATGACCTGTCTGCCTCTTCAGGGCATCTTCTAGCTCTAGCCCCACGCTCTGCACAGGGCCACCACGTGCTCTCCAAAAGCAATCACAAGACTGAGGACTGTCCTTAACGTAGACAGAGTTGTAAAGGGGATGTAAGACTTCTTAACACATGGAATAATTTGCTCTTTACATTAATCAGGAAATTGTTTCCTAAAGCTAAAATACTTGAATTGTCAGACAGTATAATCTCAGTGTGTGTGAGCTTTTGAATGAGCCTGTAAGGAAGTGTAACAATCCATGAAATGTGAATAAATGGAAAGTTTAAAACCAGCGTTTGACACAGTTTTGTTTCTGTGATATTCTTGGCAGGTGAATGGAAAAAGCAGCACATGGCAGTAGTGGTCAGCACCAGGGGCCTGCATTGAATTACAGTGGGGTGCACAGCTTGTGCTGGGCAGTCACCAGCCTCAGACTGGCGGCTGCTAGCTTTCTTCTGCAGAAGTAACACTGGCTTTTAGTCCATTCAGTGATGTGTTGGAAGCTGTGTTCAGATTCTGAAGTTTCCTAAGGAACACAATATTATCTAAGGTATTGGGAGTTTCTTGGTTGAAAAAAACAAAAAAGTAACAGAAGGCTGTCCCCAGGGTTCTGAACTGAGATCCGTAAGTGACAGGTGCTTCCTGAAGAGCAAGATTGTACCTGAACCATTGGGGAGACTGGCTAATGTGGTGTGGGCTTCCAGTGCCAGTGGTTCCCATAGACTTTCTAGAACAGCTTTTGGGGTCCCCGTCCTAATCCCACTGAATCAGAACATCAGATTAAGGCCCAGTCTTGATTTGATTTGGTTAGTGGGTTTTGTACAATCATACAACTATTACCAGCCATTGGATATGAACAGATGACCTGGTGCACAGCTGTGCTTGACCACCACTGGCTGGCAAGCTCCCTCCTTGGAATTCCAGGTACAGCCATGAAAGAAGTAACTGTTAGCACATCCTAGGAGGAAATGGCAGTGACCACCAGCATTCTCAGGAATTGTGCTAACTTCTATACATGACCTTGTCTAACTTCATTGTCAGTGAACCTGAGGGATGTATTGGGTTTACTTTCCCTTTGAAAAGCCCCAGGCCCGCTGGGTTTTATGACAAGCTGGGGTGACATGGCTTGCTGAGGGACTAGTGTGCCCATTGAATCACTTGACTTCACTTGTTTCTGGACTTGGCTTAAGTCTTTTCAGTAAAATTGTGATTCACAATATAATCAAAGTTCACCAGAAAAAAATGGTTATTTCAAACTGAGCAACCTAATTGCTTTATTAAAGTCAGATTCCAAAGTGAAAGAGCCATCCACATAGAGAAAAGTGATAGCCCATTGGCTTACATGAGGCTGTAGGAGGCAAGTGAGTGACACTAAGAGCAGGACCCTTTCTTTTACCACCCATCCCCCAAGCAAGCTTTCCCTTCCTCAAGATTCCCACTTCCTGTCACTTTTAACAAGCACAGAGTCCGATGTCTCCAGGTGACATGGGTATATACAATGAGCTACAAGGACTGCATTATTTTATATAATGCTTTCTTCTCCATTCATTCTGGAAGATTTTCCTTTTCAGGGAACATTTTCTTCCAAGCTTGGGCTGACAGCTGCTCCTAAAAGGTATGGGTCAGGACAAAAGACCTAAACAGCAGAACTGCCTTCCCACAGCATCTGGGACAGCATCCAGGACAGACTCCAGACTATCCTGGGGTCAATGTGGATAGCAAGGAGGCGTGATACCTGTTAACTTCTAAGCCAACACCTCCTTCCCACCACCTTGTGGTTGGAAGTACCAGTTCAGAAAAGTGATCTGGTGTTTCTAGGGTAGTAGCTGACTCCTTACTGTGTCCTCTTAGACCCCTGTCCTCTGCCTCTCCACTGCAGTTCCTAACTCCAATGTATATAGTCTATTAGGCCCAATTCCTTGTGACATAGTCATTTTGCATGAAAGATGGCTGTGATACTTTCAACCTGTGATGATTTCAACCTGTGATGATTACAGGTGCCTGCTCAGCAGCCCACAGTCACAGAGATGAGTAGGCGACAGGGACAGTAAGATGCCTTCTGGGATCTTCCCTAAACTCCCACTTTGGTTTCCAACTTCTGTTCCAGCCATCTTCCCACTACTGTAAGGGCTTTTAAGGGATTCTCTCAGAAAAGCTTGGGAGATTTCAGTCCACACACTGCCAGAGTGGATTTTCATGGGAACACAGAACAGCCCAAAGGCATCATGTGATCAGCTTTGGAAACACCTACACCTCTGGCCAGGATGGTCACTGTCCCCCTCATAGGGTCTTCACAGACCAGCAGACAGCCAGTGAATGATCAACCCCGTGGGAACCATTTCAGAACACTATCTTGTGGCAAAGCTTACAGCAAAGTCAGGGCCATTCCCTTGACCTGCTGTAGCGTCTGTATTAACCTGAAATGTGTATTATTAAAAGAAACAGGTACAGCCGGGCGTTGGTGGTGCATGCCTTTAATCCCAGCACTCAGGCCTGAGTTCAAGGCCAGCCTGGTCTCCAGAGTGAGTGCCAGGATAGGCTCCAAAGCTACACAGAGAAACCCTGTTTCGAAAAACAAACAAAACAAAACAAAACAAAAACCCGTACAGGTCGGGAGCACCTCTAAGAAAACTCAGAAATGTCTCTAAAATGTAAAGCAGCATTTCAAAGAACCATGAAATCATAAAGCAAAGTCAACAAGCCACCACAAAGGCTTTCTGTTGGATGAGGGTGTTCCATGGGAAAGCCGCTCACACAAACATGTTCAATGTACTCATGTCTTTGTTGAAATGTTTTTGTAGAAATATCAAGTTTTAAAGTAACAAAAAACAAAAACCACTCAACATTTTCTGTAGGTGTAATTACTCATACAATAATTTTGGAAGAGGAAAGATTGCTATTTGCATCTATGTTTCCTGTCCTACAAAGTAAGGGGCTGAAGTCAAAAGAAGGTAAGAAAGGACCGAGGGGCTGATAAGAGTGCTTGCCCAGTGGCACAAAGCAACCAGGCACAGTGGTGTAAGCCCATAATCCCAGCACATGGAGGTGGAGGCAGAAGGTTCATTAGTCAGCTCGGGGTCATTTTCCGATATACAAAGTTTGGAGCCAGCCTGGGCTACATAGACCCTGTCACAAAAACAACACACAAAACAAAAAACCACTGACAGCTCATGGTCTGAAATTGCCTTGGATAAACACAAACTGTCAGCAGGTCATGGCTTCCTCCACAGAGGATTTACCCAGTACAGAACTCAGATACCTCCCCAGCCACGAGCTGTCAAGTCACTTAGCTTGGTGTGATGTTGCAAGCAGTGGCCAGTGGAGGCCTGAAGGCTCATGTCAGTATCTCATCAATGAAGGCCTTTTGGGTACTACCACACCTCGCCTAGAAGGGCAGGGAGGTACTCTGTCTAATCCCTGGAAGGGCCATTGCTGATGCCCCAAAAGGCTACTTCTTGCAAGATCTTTACACTTGGTCTGCAGGTCCACCCAGATGATGTACACACGCCAGGGCCAGCAACTGCTGTGAAGCATCCCGTGTCTCTTAGAGCCCATAGTCCTTTTGGGTGTTATATTTACTTTTTAGGGTGGCTATGTCCAAGCCAAACTGTCAGTCCTGTGTAATGATGCAGAGGTGAGAGAGAGTCTGACCAGAGAAGCCATGTGCTATCAAGATTCTTGAATTTTAAAGCTGCAAAGGACAGCTGACTGAAAAATAGACAGGACCTAAATCATCAAAACGCAATACAGAGTTTTGACCAAAAACTTAAAACCACTAAAGACAGTCAAAAAAAAATCCATTTTTATAGTTTAAATTAAGACTAGACCAACTACACAGGGGCTGGGATGTTTTTTAATAAAGACATTTTTTTGTTTTGTTTGAGATAGGGTCTCACTATGTAGCTCCAGCTGTCCTGAGCGCACTCTAGACCAGCTTGGCCTCGAACTCACAGAGATCCACCTGCTTCTGCCTCCCAAGTGCTGGGATTAAAGGCGTGCATCACCACACCCAGCTTATTTCTTTTTTGCCTGTGTTTTAAAAATCTTTTGGAGTGGGAGTGAGCCTGGGTTGCCTTTATGTAGGCAGCCCCGGGAGGTAAAGCAGACACCACCTGAAGAAACAGGGATGCCTCCTTGAAAGAGCACAAAGCAAATAGTGCTTTCTTCCTGATGCCCTAAAGACTGACACCAAGGTTTCTTTTAAAACAACTGCACTCCAGTTCGAGTTGCTATGTGTCACTGTGTTGTATGAGGACAGGCGTGTTCCCAGAAAAATTAAAGATAGCCTCAGAAGCCAAACTGTCAACCCCAAGATTCTGGGTGCTGCTCTGTCACTTGTCACTCTCAGACTTTGAGACAGGGTCTTGCTATGTAATCTGGGCTGGCCAGGAACTCTGTCCTGCCTCAGCCTCAGTACTGAGATTTGCAGACATGTGCCACCATGTGTGTCCCTCCAATGTCAGCTATTTGAAAAAGTAAATATCAGAATTCTAGTCAGGTTCTCAAGAGCTTTTGAACATGTTTGGAACTCAAAAGTGCCCTTGGGAGAAAGTGGAAGGTTGACCAAATGTCTGGTCAGACAGCGTGTGGTTCAGACTGTAGACTGGGGCTCAGAACAAGCTTGCCTCCTTCTACTGTTCCTCATGGTTCATTTCTGAGTTCACTCAGCCTCTCTGGAGTGCTTTCCTCCTCTACAAAAGGATTGAAGGTACCTAAGCATTGGAAACGGGCCTGCGGATATCAGTTATTTCCATGTGCCACATAGAGCCAAGATGCATGACATAGACTCTGTACCTTCTACAGCCTGGGAAGCACTTGTAACCCAGGCTTAGAGAAGCCAGCCTTGCCCAGGGGAGCATGGCTGAGCTCTGGGGGATGGAACCCCCAGAAAAGAGAAGCCATGGAATTGCTTTGGGTCTAGGACTGCCTCAGTCTTCCGCAGAAGACACACTGGCTGTATTCCCCACAAGATATCAAGTCCAGAGTGTTCAGACCCCAGAATGGCTAGGGTCCTGAAGTGACAGGATGCTGTGCCCTCCCTAGAAACAAACATGGGGGCAACATTCACACCCCTGCAGGAGGAATGGCTATCCTGGACTGCAGGGCCAGCATTCACACCCTTCCCTGCAGGAGGAATGGCTATCCTGGTCTGCAGGGCCATAGCAATAGGCCCGAGGTACTCTGGAGTTCTGGGGCAAGATTTGAGTCTGCTTCAATGGTTAGATTAGAACATAGACCCAGGCTCCAGAACTTCAGTGTCTAAACTTATCCACTGTTCGTCCCTTTGGAAGGAGTTATTTCAGAGCAGGCAGGAGAGGCGAGCTTCCTGGCCGCCTAACACCCACTCCTAAGACCCAGACTGAGCTATGCAGAATGGCAGGTGGTCAAGCCCTGACCCAGCCATGCGTGTTAACCCTGGAGACTTCAGTGAGGTAGGTGGTATCAGCCCCATTTTACAGGTGGGCAAACTGAGGCAGAATGAAATGCAATAGCTCGCTTTTAATAACAACATACAAAATCTAGAGAAAGCCCCAAAGTAGTCCCCACTCCCAGAGACCAAGGAATGGAGCCATGCTCCTGCGCCCAGAGGAGCCGAGCTCTGCATACACAGAATCTGGGACACTAAACCCAGCAGCAACAGGAGGCCCAGCTTCCAGTTTATTCCAGTTGGGTAGAGGAGGTCTCAGCTAGAGCACACTGCCAGAGTGAGCCTTGGGCTGGTGACCCCTGGTCACCTGCACCCACCAAGGACAATGTGGGCTCACAAGCAGCCTAGTCTGCTCTCTGCCTAGGAAGCCAGGCTGAGGACAAGACCAGCATGCTAACCAAAGCATGGGGGCAGAGGGGACAGCACCAGCCTCACTCTGAGCTCTGGCCTCAGGGTGGTTCTGCCTAAAACCTTCCTGGGATTTCAACCCCGGCCCCCATCAGACATTCCCTCCCAATTCCTTCACAACTGAATTCTGCGTCCCTCCAGCCGAGACTGACACAGGACATCTCGGGTTGGAGGTGTGTGTTGGCGGTGTTCTTTGGATGGAAGCAAAGGCCATTCTGGGGGATCAGGGCCTGTCTGCCCAGCTGGAGTCTGACACCCATTCTGAGCTGGGCATGGGGCGAGGTATTCCCAGCCGACAAACAGTTCATATCCCCTGACTCGCAGCTGGAACCCACTGCAACAAGTAGTAACTATGGGAGAACAAGTCAGGACTGACTCATGAGCTGAAGTTCGTCAGTACTGCATTACAAAATCTTCAACTGGCTTTGTATAGGATGTGTGGACAGTAGCCTGGCACAGAGCCCCAGCAGGGGGATGGGAGTGGAGGTCAGGAGGTCTAAGAACATTCTGGAAGCTGGCAGCCCCTCACACTCTCTATGACCTCTTGGTGTCTTTGGCCCTCTTTGGGAGCAGAAGGCTCTCCAGAGATGGGCTGAGGGGGCCGAGTGCGGGACAGGGTGGGAGCAGAGCCAGCAAGGGAAGAGGACGAGGCACTTCAGTTTGGGCTGGTGTTCATGGAGTCGGCCCTGGCCCCAGGAGTCGAGTGGCCCTGCCTGGCTGTAGCTCCGGCACTGGCTTGTCACAGAAGACCCCCGTGGCGGTGACAGGTAGGCACTTGGCAGCATTCCAGGGCCAGGCAGGGCCGGGGCTCTGTGCAGGCTCCACACACTAGGTCATCAAGATGGGTTTCTGTCGAACTTCCAGGATGTCTAGGGTGACAGGAGGGAGCAAGCAGGTAAGGACACTCTTGGGAGGGAGCCACAGCTGCCATACATATCCACCATTTCTGATCAGGCCTCACAGGCTACAGACATCATCACTCTGCCCTCCCACACCAGCAATGGAAAAGTGTAGATGCAGAGGCCAAGAGGAATGAGACTCCCACCTGCAACCACTCAAAGGGGCCGGTGAGGACATGAGGGAAACATGGTGGGAAGCCACTGGCTTATGGAAACTATAGCCCATTAAAGCCTTCACAGAGAGGCCCTGAAGGTCTCTGACTTCATGTACCTGTTAAGATCCGATGCAGTGGCAAGGTGACATAGGTCAAGTGTGCATAGAGAAGGAAGTTTCCGTCAGCTCTGTTCAGCTTCAGCCAGGACCCAACCAGGGACCGTCCTGTGCCAGACAGGGAGCGAGACCGCAGGTTGGTGGCATTGTGCAGGTCGGCTGCAGGGAAGAAGGGCAGGTCAGCATCCTGTGGGCCAGGGAGCGTGGGGGAGGGGCAACAAGACATCTGCCCCTCTAGGCAGATGCCACACTCACAAATGCTCCCTACCAATGTCCACACCCCCAAAGCCCTGCTTCCAGGCCCTCACACTGCCCTGTCTGCCAGGGCCCACCTCTCGATGGGCCTGGCCTGGAAAGCATCCAGGGTTCACTACTGTAAAGACTGCCTTCTTCCAGCCACTTGACATAACACGGAACTGGGATGGTACCAGCTCGTGAGAGATGCTGAGGTATGTTGGACCTTCCCTCAGAAACTCCCAACCCAGGTCTGAGGGTCACTCCTGTTTTCTGAACCCCACTTTCCACAGAACTGATGGAGCATGCAGTTTACCCACCAAGCCCCAAGGTTCCTGGTCCAAGACTGAGGAGTCCTGCACAGCTCACTGGCAGAGACTAACCACCGGGGAGGGGCTTGTGTACGAAGAACAGATGAGTGGGTGGGACCAAGGGTTCTAGGGACATCTGGGCAGACACCAGAAGGTCATTGCTGGAGCCACAGGGAAGGATCTCTGACTCACGGGAGACCAGGGAACAGAGGTAACAGAGAAACCCTGAGGTTCACCCAGGACAGAAGGTTCTAGAATAAGGAAAGCTGGCCCAAGAAGCAGAAGAGGAAGAGTCCTTAAGGAGCACCCAGGTCAGCAGAAAGCTCCAGATCCTCTGAATGGGGTGGGGAGATGGACACTGAAAACAGGGCTCACGGAGGCAGAACCCCCCCCCCCCATCTATGGCTTATGGAAACTGGCAGCCCCTCACACTCTCTGCCCCGGGGTCAGCACTCCACCTGACACAGCTCTGTAATTGACACTGGGTGAGGGAGTGACAACATGGATGACTACATAGGTGAGTGCATGCAAGGACAAGTGGTCACATGGACAAATGACCGAAAAGAGGAGTGAACACAAGTCAGAGCAGTGACCATTCATCTACAGGATAAAGGGTGAGGTCTGTCACCTCCACTGTCGTCCTCTCGGAAGAACTCTTCACTGTCATTGGCCGAGTGTGACTTCTTCATCTCTGCAATGCGGTTCCGAGGCACCTTCCTCTTGAGGGATGGGGAGAAGAAGGAGGGCCGGTTGTTTCGCTCCGGGGTGGGCGGGGTGCTAAAGGAGGTCACCTGGCAACAAAGAGTCCAAGTCACATGTGTAGCATCAGCAGACCCTGCTATGAGGCCCCAAAGCCACTCAGATCAAAGCCAGCCCCAGCAGGGGCTGTAGTTATAGTTGCTGACCCTGAACCTAGCCTGAGGGCAATCTGGGAGCTTGCCACACACACAGCAGCTAGTCCTGCCTAAGGATGCCACCAAAACTGCCAGAGGGACCTCTCTTCCACGTCTCAACACAAAAGAGGGGCTGTTCAGATGCCAGGTGACAGGCTGCTGGGTGTGGTTTAAGCACTGCCGTGTCACAGCAACCATGTCCCAACACATCAGCTAGTGATGCCCTTTTCACATAAGAGGAGATAAGGCACACAAATGGCCACCATGACCTGCCTAAAGCCACTAGGACTACACCCTAGGTCACCCCTTGGGGCCCTTCCCTCTTGCGCCCAGCCCCTTTCACAAGTGCTCAGGCTGAGCAGCTCTCTGCCCGACGTCTCCTTTCCTCCCTTCCAAGCACATTCAGTCCCAGCCACCAACATTCTCCACACTCACTTGGGGGTGAGGTTGGCACAGACAGGCATAAGACATAGATCCCCTGCCCTCAAGGAGCTCACAGTCTGCTGGGGGTGACAGACTCAAGTGACAACCACAGACTGCATGCTGGTTGCTGAGACAGAGGAGGGGAAGCACAGGACATGGAAGGGACAGTGGAAGAAGGGACAGACAGCCTGTGAAATCAGAGTAGGCTTCCTGGAGGAGGTGCCGCGTGAGCTGGGTCTTGAAGGACGAGTAGGAGTTCGCCAGGTGAAGAAGGGGGGGAAGGGCGTTCCAGGCACAGGGAACTTGGCCCATCCCCTCCCTCCTCCCCATGCAAACAAGAATCGGAGCAGCAAGATGAGCTGGGACAGAGACTTCGGGGCCCCATCGGCCTCCCCGTCATAGCTCCGACATCCACCAAAGTCCCGGCGGCTGCTGGGCTCCAGACGGTCCTCCCTCAAGTCAGGGAAGGTTTTAAAAGATAAAAAAAAACAAATACCAGAAACCACAATACACAGTCTGCATTTCTTGTACACTGGTTACAAGTGACCCCTCAGGACAAGAAGACAAGCAACAGTGTGTACATGGGCAGTGGCGCTGAACCCTATGTGACCTCACGACTCCTCCCCAGGGCTCCACACCTCCCTATGAAGGGCATTGCTAAGGGCCATTTCATCCCTCATGGCCAAGCCCATTTGATGGGTGGGACAACCGAGGCTTGGGTGGGTCTATTGACTCATCTGTGGGCACTCAGCAAACAGCACCCAGTGTTACCCAGCTGGGGGCCACATCTGCACACCTCCGAGCACACATACACCTTTCAGCGTCCAAGTGCAACACAGAACTGGGCAGAATCAGCCTGTTACCTGGGAGCTCAGAATCCAAGCTACCTCCATTCAAAAACTGAGAGGGCCCATGTCTGAGGTGCTCAACACTTTACAGAATCCCAGGATTTCTTGGTTTTGTTTGGCTTACAAAACACACGGATTATAGAAGATTCCAAAAGAAAGAAAAGGAGGCACCCAGGAACTAACACGAGCAGCAGCTGGTCAGGCACTGTCCATTCTTGAAAATCACCTCTCCTCAGCTGCAGACAGTGACCACCATGGCTGCCACGTGGGTCACTTCACAGGGCCAAGCCCCATGCAAGCCATGAGCCGTGAGTGGTGCCTGCCATGAGAAACCCCACACCTGGGGAAGCAGGCTCACATCTCACTTCTCAATGAGAAACAGCTTAGGGAAGGAAGGGACCCATCCAAGATCGCTTGAGCAGCGGAACCCAGAATGCAGCTCGAGGGTCTCTTGGACAAGGGTCTGAGTGACATCAAAACACTGACTCCACGGGCAGAGCAAACCTGAGCCTGGGGTATAGTCTCTGCATGGCCACTGACAGAGCCCTGTGAGAGCCTTGGACAAGGGTCTGAGTGACATCAAAACACTGACTCCACGGGCAGAGCCTTTCTCAAACCTGAGCCTGGGGTATAGTCTCTGCATGGCCACTGACATCAGCTCTTCACTAAGGGCTGAGAGAGCCCTGTGCTGAGTCCTCAGAGCTGTGGCGGGGGCAGCAGCCCACACAGAACACTTCCCCCCTGCTCAGGGATACTGCTAACAGACAGAATACCCTAAACAAATGACCAGGCCCAGAGTGAGCCTTGTGCTCCCTGGCTGTCCTTGTGGGACAGACAACCTGGGCTCAGCTATCCCTCATCCCATTGGCTCACTGCAGAAGGGCTTATGTGGCCACAGCTGCTGAGCATGCCCAGGCACCAGGCCCAACTCCTATTCCGCTTCTTCTGTTCCCCATCCCAGGGACTCAGCCTTGGGGCAGAGCAGTTCAGGGAATCAGAGTTAGCCTGGGTATGAACCTCCTGGGTGACCTCAAGCAAGGAACCTGGCATCTAAGAGCCTCAGCTTCCTCATCAGCCATGGAGGTCAGCTGGTGACATCCGGGGAGCCATGGGAAGTGAATACAAAGGACAACAGGAGGTCCCTCCCCGGGCCGTGCAGCGCTTACCCTCTCATGCATGGGCGAAGCTGGGCTGGAGTCTTCTTCAGTCCCACAGGGGGACGTGTCACCAGTAGACACACGGCTGACTGCCATCTCAGCATGGCCCTTGCCTTGAGGCCCCTTCATGCGCACAAACTCCATGTTGTTGTACTTGTAGAAGCCAAATGACATCTTCTGGGCCATTCGAGCCGCCACACTCACCTGTGGTAGGTGGGACACGGCCTCTGTCAGCAGCATGGGATTGGCTCCACAGCAGGCCCTCTCTCTTTTCTCTCTTCTCTGTCTCTCTCTCTCTGAACACCGCAGTCAGTATTACCACCTCTGAGGCCATCTTGAGGGAGTCTGGGCCACAGGGAAGCCAGTCTAGTATGGTGTGTGTTCCAGATCCCTGGCCAAGGCTGTTCTCACTGTCCTGAACATCCGTAATACTGGCCAGGGTCTTAACCCCAGGTTTAATTCCACCTCAGGCCAGATAGCACCAGCTGCAGGAAACTAGCCTGTTCATCTGAACTCCTTTCCTTGCTGTATTAGTCAGGGGTTAGTCTTGGGAGTGTCCCCAGTACTGGGGTAAGTAACCCTTACCAACAGTAAGGGAGAGCCAGTGCACCTCACAGGGACATGAGAGGGAGGAAGTAGTCCCTATCTGCACCTCAGATGGACACAGGTGGACTCGGATGTAAGACTGTAAGGGAGATTGTGGGCCCCAGGAGAGGCTAGAAGTGTAGCAGGTGCCCTGATGTGGAGTGGTCTCAGCAATGCGGGGGTGGGGGGTGGGGGTGGGGACAAAGGGCCAGGATGCACACCCCTAGGCAGTCTTGCACTCACGCGGTTGTCATACACCTTCTTGAGAGCCTCGTAACGGATGGAGCCCTGAAAGATGACACCCTGGAACGTGTTGGTTTTGTCACTGGCCACCAGCTCAACACAGACCATCTCTCCTTCCCCTACAGTCATGTCACTGAACACCTGAGGGCGGGGAGGAAGAGATGGAGATGTCAAATACTGGTGCCACCACCCACACCATACCCTGACCTGGTTGCCGGGAGGGCTGCTGAAATCACCAAGTACGAGGCAACCCGTAATCTTAGCACTAGAGAGGCTGAGGCAGGAGGATCAAGGTTTTGAGCTTGGCCTGGGGTTGACAGGGGCAATGTGTCTCAAGACAGAGAAATGGGGGGAAGAAAAGAGGAGGAAGGGGACTGAGGGGGAGGCAGGAAGAAAGAGAACAGAGAAAAAGGAAATGCCATTTTACAGATGAGGATGCTGAGAAGAGGCCAAACTACTTGTCCTCAGCCACCCACTGTCCACCATCCCACCTCTAACCTCTGCCACAGTGGGAACACATCACACTCCAAGCTGAGCCATAAGCCAGACCCTCATCTGACTTTCTAATGCTGAGTTAAAGTTACAAGGACTACAGGGACACTTGGAGACCCCTTCATCACAGCCCGGTCCAGCCCACTGTACCCTGAGCTTGGCTGTCCCAGCTAGTGTGACTAATTGTGACTGCCTTCTTGGGATAACAACACCTGGACATGGGCTGTGTGACCACACCCTGCCACATTTCTGAGCTGCTGTTCCTAATATCTGACATCCAGATGCAAGCTTCGAGGAGAGACTCAGGGCAAACACATGTCCAAGTGTGAGCCCAGGGGGACCACATCAACTTCTTGAGCCTCAGGCATTTTCAGATACCATCAGAGCCCACAGGGGCCTGAAAGCTATGCCCACATTCATGGGACTTCCAAGAACCATGGCTGTCTCTGGGCAAGCAGAAGTACATACATACATGCACAGACATGTACACACACACACACACACACACTCTCTCTCTCCCTCTCTCTCTCTCTCTCTCTAACATTAGCCTTGGCAGATGAGCAGAACAGGAAGTGGAATGGCAGCCTCCCTTCTCCACTCCTCCTGGTATTGGTGAGTTAATGTATCTGGAGCACATTTTACCAATCTTGAAACAAAGGCTTAGCCATAGCACCCTGGGCAGGGGGGAGGCACTCATTCACAGCAAATGGTAACTCCTTCTGGTCAGGCAGCACTTACTCTAAGCATCTATGATCCACACTCCGACTCAGAAGTCCTCTGGTCCTCAACCCTGATACCTTAGTAGGTCACAAGGTCATGACACTCACTTTATAGATGAATAAGCCAAGCCTAGAGCAGGGCATATGCACTTGGCTAGCCAATCACTGTGAAGAGGGGAGCCCCACTGGCTGTCATCAGGACCTTTCCCTGCTCCTGGTGCCCATGTCTCCTGGGAAGCTTTGCAGGTCCTCAGCCTGACACTCCCATCATCCAAGAGGAAAGGAAGGGGACTGTGGCAACGGTGAGCCCTCACCTCCTCGAAGCTGTCAATCATGAAGAAGATGTTGGGGTAGCTCATCTTGGATTCTTCTCCTTTGCTGTCCATGGGGTGTTTGCTGGGGGATGCAAACACTTGCTAAAAAGGAAGCACAAGGGCTGAGATGCTGGCCTGGATGGAAAAGAGACCTCAGATAAAGGCCAAGAGGCCATGCTGCTCAGAGTCATGGGTGCATGCATACGACCCTGGAGTCAGTCCCTCACTTCGGGGAGGGAAAGTGGAGGGGGAGATGCCTTTCTAGAACAGGCAACAGTTATCTAGAGAGCCTGAACAGCTAGTGGGAGATAGGGGCTCACCTGAGATTTCTTCCGATGAATGTGGATGTCACCTCCATCGGCACGTGTGCACACAGCACAGGTCACCATATAGTCCAGCTAGAAGAGAACGAAGTGTGCATGGGGGGGGTCACCTTCCCACAGACCCACAAGTAGCCATCACCACCCACCCCATACCTTCTGTAGGATGAGGTTCAGGCAGACGCTCTCTTCCCAGTCAATGTCAGGGTCTCCCAGGCCTGGAAGCTTCTTAGAGTCTCTCCGATACACTTCCACCTCCACCTCAGGCTCAGCCTCAGCCTGTGGCACAGGTCAGAGTGAGACTTCTGCTCCCTGACTGCTGTACCAGGCAGGTGATAACATAAAAGACCCCCACCCCCAGTGCCCAGCTCTACTTCCTTTGCAGCCCCAGTTTTCCAATTTGTACAATAGAAAAAGCATTTCCCTCTCCAAGTTGTGATAATTAAGACATCATATTTCCTAAGTTCCCAATGGCAGTAACATCTACTGGGCTCGCAGTGGGTAGCAGATACAAATTATTACCTTCTTATCTGCAAGAAAGGAATCATTAATCCCACTGTAACTGATGAGGATCAAACAGGCTACAGATCACATACCACATACTCAACAAAGAGAGAGCAGAGCCCCATCTACTCCTACTCCAGGCAGGAGAGGCATAAGGAATCAAAAGCAGATTTGAAAGCAACCTGTCCTGGTAGGGGTCCTGAGCCCAGGGTCCTAACTAGGCCCAGGAGGGCTCCTACATGATCATCTCCAAGAAGGCAACAGTCACCTCCTGCTGATGCCACCTACAGGACCTCTGGGGCAGATCTGGGATCCACACAGAGGTTCCTCAATGCAACAGGATGTGCCACAGGAGTGGAATTACTACCTCCCATGGTCTGTGTGGCTGTGGGAATCCCCCAGACTCCAAGCTGGGAGCCACCAACCGCCTGCCTTGGTCTCACTCCATTGCCCTGCTTAGTTGCTCCATGCTAAGCATTCATCTTGTTTGCTCTCCTGCAGGTGAACCCACACTGGTAGGTGCTTAACTGCTGTTGGCTCAACAAAGGCTGGGGAACCAGTGTGGGGAACACCTATAGCACAATGGCACTCCTGTGGCAGGTCACCAGGCTAGTGGAAGGGGTAGCTCCATGTGTCACTAAAACGCACAGGGAACAGCTCAGACACCCACCCACAGAAGGGCAGGGGGTGGTGGGAACCCCAGCAACAACACCCAGCAACCAGACTGACAAATCACAGCTACCTGGGTCAACATGCATGCTCCCAAGTAAACAACTGAGAAGTAGCCAGAGGACAGACACACTGCAGCACTTAGGGGATGGACCACCTAAGCTGCAGAAGTCCAGCTGAGCCCAGGGCAGGAGGCAGCTGCTGGTGGCTAAGGCTCCTTGCACATACTAGTCATGCTGGGTCTCTGGATCTTGAAGGCTGGTGACCCCAGCACACACACACACACACACACACACACACACACACACACACACACACACACAAGACCATCAACCTGGACACCCTTGCATGTACATTACAATCAAGAAAAACGACCAGCTGGATATAGTGGCACCCGCCTTTAATCCTAGGACTCAGGAGGCAGGCAAACTCTGAGTTTGAGACCTGCCTGGTCCACATAGAGTTCTAGGCCAGACAAAGCTACATAGTGAGATCCTGACTCTCTCTCCCCCCTTTTCCACCCTCCCTCCCTCCCTCCTTCTCTCTCTCTCCTTTCTCTCTCTCCTCTCTCTCTCTCTCTCTATCTCTCACACACACACACACACACACACAAAGCTACCAAAAGAGAAAATGCAAGATTGGATGCTGTGGGACCAGAGAAACACCCTCAATGCTCCTGACCTCTGGTTCTCAAGTAGGTTTGGGATAGTCTCTACCCCAGGACTGCTGAGAGTGTCAATAGGAAGCCACTGGCATAGACAAGGACACAAACAGATGCCAATGGTCATCAATGCCAAAGACAAAATGGGTTGCTGAGAACGGGGAGTGTTTTGTTCAGGGGTGGCGTAACAAGACTGCAGAACATCCAGGGCACATTAGGAAACCAGGTTCCGATCCCCAAAGTAATCCTGCAGCAGGATGTGAGAACTCCAGCACCTACCCACACGGCAGCTCTGTCTCTGCCCACCCACCCTCCTCAGGCAGGCAGGGAGCCTCGTTGGTTGCCATGACAACCAGTACCAGCAGGATGGGAAAGGGTGGGAGGGCATTGTAGTGCTTGCCGCAGAATAATCCCAGTGCGCAGGCGCTAGTGTCCACATATCTGCAGCCCTGATTTCTGTTGCTTGGTAGGCTGGGGTTCCCCAGTGTACCCACACCCTGCCCCTTACGGAACACACTGCAGGCTGTCAGTCTGGAAAAGATGTCTAATCTGGGTGAACTTGAGCCTTGCCTGATCTTGATCTCCAAACCCTATACCAGACACCACCAGTCATCCCTCTGCAGTTCCACCATGCAGAGGTGCAGGAGGCCAACCAAGCACAAAGAGAATGTATGGGGGGGGAGCATACTTCCCAACACCCATCTGAGCAGCAAGACTATGGCTATTCTTGGTCTCACTCCACTGACATTTGGTGACTTTCCTTTCTCCCTGCACATATCTGTGTCACACACTGTCATACACTAAGTTACATTGCAGCATGGGTCAAATGTGCTTGGCACCCCTCACCTACCAATCAGGTACTATACCTGCCCTAAGATTTATCTTCAGTCACCGGGCGGTGGTGGCGCACACCTTTAATCCCAGCACTTGGGAGGCAGAGGCAGGTGCATCTCTATGAGTTTAAGACCAGCCTGGTCTACAAGAGCTAGTTCCAGGACAGCCTCCAAAGCCACAGAGAAACCCTGTCTCGAAAAGAAAAAAGAAAGATACGTCTTCAGTCAACAACAGCTTCCCTACAATCCTGTATACAGATGTCAGTTCACTTAGGACTTCCCAAAGAGTGGCAGCCTGAGTCATTTCTGTGTTATCAGTGCCGTTTCCATGTGGCTCACTTTTGCTCAGCATTCCTGTTAAAGTCAGGCTACCTCCACTGACCTCAATACCTCTAAATCTTCAAGAGTGTCTCAGCACAACCCTAGGGACCCTCCTGCTGTAGACTTCGTCATCTTTTGCCCAGGGCTGCTTCTCCCAAGAACTCTTACCTTACTTCTCTTCCACCCAAATGCCATCAACTAACCATCCCTCTTTCCTCTCAATCTGGCCCATCAACAGTACACATTGTTGAGTGTACTGGCCTTGCGTCCCAGTGACCTTTCCCAGAACCACCATGTAGGATCCACCCAAAAGAAAGCCAGTGCCTCACGTGTGCCTGTCCTCAGAGACAACAGGCTGGAGTGGCGGGAGCCAGAGGTGAGGTTCACAGTCCTGCTTCTCCAAGGGTCTTCATCCCAAAGTAAACCTTGGGTGAAAGCAGCGCCTACATCCAGGGTGCACTGGTGCTGGGTCACCAGCACGCAGGGGCTCCCTAGCACCTGTCCCTTCCTGCCAAGGGCATCTCTGTGGTCACATCAACCCCAAACATCCCAGCCTCACATGTATCCAATGGGACTATCTGTTCCAAGTCCCAGAGATGTCTGGTTCCAGGCCACAGCTGTAACACTGATCAAGGGGAGAAAGCTGGACTCTAATGGCAGTATTGGGCAGGACTAAGGAGCCCAGGGCTGGCCCCCTACTGAGAAAGTTCCTACCTCATTGGTACCATTACCCACAAGTGCCAGATGAACCCACAAATTGGATCTCAGCTTTAATTCTTCCACAGAGCATCTCCTGCTCCACCTACCTGCCATTCCTGGGCCCTAGTCCAGTCTGCAGCAATACCCACGTCTCCAGACTCTTCACTCCCCTGGCTTGTCTAACTCTTTGGTCAGTGGTTCATGGGCTTCTGCAGGTCCCTTCCACACCAGCCTGGCAAGAAAGCCACCAAAGGCCTCCTTTGCAGCAAGCTCCCAGGTGTGTTCACTCACAGCAAACGAGTCCTGTAGATGTTCAGGCATGTGACAGGAAAGAGCTCCCCACACTCAAGTGTGTGAGCTGTAACTAAGAAACCACAGTGCCCAAGTCACAAGGAGCATGGAAGCAGATAGGCTATTAGTCCCAGACCAGGGCCAAAGCCTGAGCACTATTTATCCTTAAAGGCAAACAGATCATTCCCATGCCTAACATGTGGATGGCTTAAACATTCTATAAACCACTAAGAATTCTGAAAAGAGAAGGAAGCATGCAAAATGTATCTCAAGAACTCATGCACACTGCCTCACTTAGAAGATGAAATGCCCTGGGTGAGTCACTTCTCTCTAAGCCGTTTCCTCATCAATTTGCCCAGTTGCTGGGAGTTCAGGAGACCTAGGACCGCCCTGAGTGATCCCCCTAGTTTACAGTGAGGGCCGAGTCAGAGAAGGAGGACATCATCACCATCACTACCATCCATCATCACCATCACTACCATCCAGCTGCCGCCCTACCCACTCTGGGACGTGCCCTAGACTTGGGACTCAAAGCCCTGTACTTCCTTTCACTCACTCACTGTAAGAGGCTGGCCAGCTGGACCCTGAGCCTCAGTTTCCTCAAAGATAAAATTAACTGCATTTTAGTGTTATGGCAAAAACAATTCAACAAACCCACAAGTAAGCCACTGGTAACCATCTCCTGGGTCCCTCAAACATGCTGGGTACTCTGTATCCCTTCAGCTACACATGAATACGTAGAAAGAGAAGTAGACCCTACAGGATGTTCAGGGCACAGTTGGGGGTGGGGCTTGGGGGGTCACCCACCTTCCTCCCATCGACACTGCTGTCATTGCCTGGGTAGGCTCGCTTCCTGCGCACGTAGAAAAGCATGTCATCCTGCCTGGGGGCCAGTTTCTCCATGAAGTAGGTGGAAAACATCCAGGTCCAGAAGACAATCCGGTCATCCTTGAAGCATCCTACAGGAGGAGGCCAGAGGAGTGAGAAGGGGCCCTCCTGGCCCTGGCTCTGACCGTGGCAAAGCCTGGTCCTCCCCACCTGCATTTCTGGTTAGAGATCTGACAAGGCTGGGATGCTCTGCCCCTTCTCCCTAAGTGTCCCCTCCAGCCCCACCCATGGGTATCAGAGAGGCTGGGGATGCCTCCCCGAGGAGGTCTAGGACTCCACCCAGCGGCAGCCTGACAGTCTAGGCTGCCAGGCCCCTCTGCAGAGCTGACTCCAGTCAGTGAATGAATCAGTGGCTTTGAGGAAAAGGAAAATCTAGAAGCTGTGAGGACGTCACTGGCAGGCTGGCTAGGCTGCAAGGAGAAAGCCTTTGCTAGGGAAATCTTCACCACAGACATCCCTAGCCCTCCCCCACAGGCTGCAGAAGTCCCAAGGAGAACCCGACTTAAAGGGACAGCCAGCGCATCTCAGCTGCAAGCAGGGAGGCCCAGAGAGGGTGCCAGATTGAGTCCCATTGGATTCCTTCAGATTTTTTGCATAATAAATGTATTTTTGCATGATATATGAAATGTGAAATCATTTCCTGTACAAGATAAAAGAAACCCATCCCCCAAGTTCTGGTAAAAAAAAAAAAATCTGGGTTTCCTCTTCAGCTCTATCACTTTTTTATGTGACAGAGGACAGGTGACTAAGCTGCTGAGCCACAGGCTCCTTTCGACTACATGAGGATGAACAGCTCCTGGCTGGAACAGCCAGTGCCTGGCACGGAGCAGGTCAGTGAATGTGGGCTTCCTCGCTCTAGATGGATCAACAAATTGTCACCCTGTGCTACTCAACAACGTTAAACTCCTGAGTTTCTTTCTTTCCCCATTTCTCCTGAACTGTGGAGACCTAGCCCTAGTACCTTGCTTCTGGGAAGGTCTACATGGTACAACACCCTCCATCCTCAGAGGCAATCACTGGCCAGACCAAGAACCGACAGCAAGTAGAAGGTGCCAGCCACATCATAGAACCAGTCTTTCCCCTCCTCCCTCTGACAGCAGTGTGTGCCCAACACAGGGGCAGTGGGAGGAGTCAGAGTCAGCAAAACTTGCCAGCCTCTGGGAAGCAGGGACAGGCTCACAGGCACAGGGTGGACCATTCACCAGCGTCAGAAATTCCTGCCTCCCTTTTGCACCAGGCAATGTCCAACTATGCACACACCAGGAGATGAGGCAGAAGCATCTCTGGCCTGACAAGCAGGGGCCTGTGACTCAATCCAATTGACGTCACAGTCAAGCAGCTCACAAGTGTCAGCCACAGAGGAAAGTGTTGCCCTTACTTGAACGGGCTCCTTTGCTCTTTCATACAGTCTGCTGTGAGACCAGGGTGCAACTCTATGCCTAAGCACTTGATGGGAATGGGCTCATCAATTCAGGGGTTCCATCCCCAGGGCCACAAAAGTTTACCTGGTAGTGGCTTCTAGTGCATCCAGGCAATTAACAGTATTTACAAAATATGATAATGACCTTAGCTACACCTTAGTTAGGTTCTGTAGACTGCTAACAGTAAACCTTCACTGTCACTCAATTGTCCCCAACTCATTTCACAGAAGAGGCTTAAGGATGTGCCCAAGGTCCCAGAGCTGGAGACTGATTTGCCTGATGGCCACACTCAGGCCTTGGAAAAAACCTGTGCTCAACTATTTCCTGCAAAGGAGCCAATCACAGGTGCTGGCAGTTCCAGGGCATAAGGAACAGAAGGTAGGAAAGCCCAATTCAGGGAAGGGCCAGGAGGTCCCCATAGTCCACATACACCAACTCTGGAGCTGGAGTGATGTCTTTCAGAGGACCCGGGTTTGGTTCCCAGAACCCAGGAATAAGCTAACCTGTAACTCCAGCTCCAGGAATCCCAACACCCCCAGAACCCAGGAATAAGCTAACCTGTAACTCCAGCTCCAGGAATCCCAATATCTCCTTCTGACCTCTGTGGGTACCTGCACTCATGTACACACACACACACACACACACACACACACACACACACAATTGAAAACAATAAAACAAATCTTTAAACCTAACCCTCACAATTCAGGGATCTCTGGGTCTCTTTTTCTGTTTCTCTTCCCAATGTGGTCACATTGAATAAATGTCCTTTTTCTACTTTTCACCATTACTCGTCTTTTTCTTAACATTTATTTTGTGTCATTTATTTTGTGTCATGTATGTGGGCACATGTACACCATGTTGTGGTGTATTGTGGAAATTGGAGGATAATTTGTGGGAGTCTGTTCTCTTCTCTCACCATGTGGGCTCTGGGGAGGGGTGAGGCCAAGCTCCGGCCACCTCACTGCCCTACTTGTCTGTTTAGTCGGGAATCCTCCTATCTCAGCTTCTCAAGAGCTGGGATTAGACATGTCAGCCAGCATGCCTGCCTAAGTGGCATTTTTATTTTATTCTATGTGAATGGATGTTTTACCTGAATGTATGTCTGAGTACCACATGTGTGCCTGGTATCTAGAGAAGCCAGAGAGGACATCAGATGCCCTGGGACAAGAGCTATGGCCATCTGTGAGCCACCATGTTGGGTTCCGGGAGTTTGGGACCTCTGCAAGAGTAGTCAGTGCTCTTAACCACTGAACCCTCTCTCCAGTACCCTGAGTGGTATTTTGAAAGGAACAAATTTGCCTTCTTAAAAACATCAGATTCTTATAAAGCTGTCACAACTCAGTCCTCCTACGTCCAACTAGAGAATAAGGCGTGCATCCACAGAAAGGCTAGCACACACAATGTTCACAGGGTTCCCTAAGAGCCCCAGTGGAAACCAGGAAAGGAGACACAGAAACAGCTGACCTGGCCAATGGCTTACAACTCCCCATAGCACCACAGAGGAATCAGAATTATCACATCCACAAGTCAGGCTCACAAGACTAACTCCTGTGTGCTTAAACTCATGTGGTGTTTCAGAAAAAAAAGAAAAAAAAATTAAAGGCCTAAAAAGCAGATGAAGCTGGCTATGACGGTGCTCACCTGTAACAAGGTCATCTGGTCTGTAAGAGACCTCACCTCAAACACAAACAAACAAACAGCAAAGGGGTGGTTGTCTTAAAAAATAAGTAATGAGAATGGAGAGACATCTCAGCAGTTAAGAACACTATCTGCTCTTGCAGAGGACCTGGATTCAGTTTCCAGCACCCACATGGCAGCTCACAACCACCTCTGTAACTCTGTTCCGGGGATCCAGCCTCCTTGGGCACTACACACATATGGGTACACTTACATACTTGCAGGCAGAACACCCATGCGTGTAAGATATAACAAAGTAAAACAAGAGTAACAAAAATAAAAACACTGTGTTCTGTGTTACTAATGAGAACAATCTAACAACTTTCAGAAGGTGGGGAGGAGTCTGCAATTATTAGCATCTACCAATAATTAGGCAAATCATGGTATGTGTGTTTGGCTGGAACCTCCAGCTCACTCCTGTTTGATCCGGAAAGCCCCATTTCTCTCTCCAAACTCCACCCTCTCATTGAATCTCCAACAACAAAAAGGCACCAAGAAGCCCAGTTCTGCATTCTTGGTGACTGTGGCAGCTCCTCCCCTGAAGTTGCCAGTAGCCCAAGACCCCGCCTAAAGCTGTCAGTTTTGACCATACTTGGCACAAACCCATCTTGTGGTGGACATGTCATCACCCTCTTGCCTACAGGGTACATATAAGCTCCCTGCTTTAGTTTGGGCTTGTGACTTCTGACTTGATGTTGGGGCTGGAGAACTCACCTGTGAGTTGCTCAAATAAACCTGTTCTTTTGCTGTTTCGGTTCGGCTTGATCTGGCTTACTGCATCAGCAGAGAAACCTATTATCATGTTACAGAAAACCTGTTAATGTGTACTAAACCAAATGTCTGCTGACTATTTGATTGTTTTACTTGAAGTTCTGGGAACCAAACCAACGGCCTCACTTGTTCTAACAAGTGTTCTATTCCTAATCCACACCCTCAGTCTGTGAAGACCACATACAGACACAGGAATATGGGTTTGGAAGTCCTGGGTAAAAAGGCAAAACTTAGTTGTAGTCACACTGACTGTGCCACAAACCAAAGGAAAACAGGAGGAACGGAGACAGAACAGTGGGAGCAGCTGCCGTTCACAGGCGGCTGGCCAGTCTCCCCATCTGTCTTCCTTCTCCACAAATTATCTTTTGTCCTAAATCTATGGCTTGGTGTCACAGGCCTAAACATCATGCAGGGGGAGGGAGAGAGCCCTCTTTACAGGGAGGGAAAGAGACAGAGATGTGTTCCATGCCCAGAAGCTGGGCAGGGCAGATCCAGCATAGAATTTCTAACTCCTGGGGACACAGAGCAATCCAGGCTTTGAAATCCTACAACATGGATCCTGGTCCCAATTGGTCCCCAACTGGACTGCTCTGGTAACTTCCCACCTTCCCAGAATCATGGTGAGGTCTGGGGTAGAGGAGTCAGAGCAAAGTTCCTCATAGGCTATGATACTCCATCTACATGGAGCAAGTGAGGAACTTAGATGCAGCTGCTCAGCATGCCTCTCTGGCCAGCCTGGATGAAGTCAATGATCATAGCCTCCCAGCATCCTTTGGTCCTGTGGTACAGTAACTGTGTGAGTAAACACACAAGAGGCAAATGAACTCTTGCTGGCCTGCTGTTTCTCCCATAGGTAAAACCTTCTTCCTTCTTTTCCCTAGGCCTGCCCAGCAAGAAATCCCCTGCGTCATAAGCCTGTGAGCTGCCAATATAGCACAGACCTTTCTAGTCTCCAGAGCCCTATCTGTTTCTGTCCTCCAGCCACTGGGCTGCCAGGGACTGCACGTTTACCAAGTGTGAGTTCAGTGAACCCAAGCCCTAGGGCAGCAGAGGCAGCCTGAAGCTGAGCCACTCACTCAGGCAGCACCACGGACAGCTCTCAGCCACCGGGTTCCTCCCTCTCATGCTGGAGTCCTGAGGGGCAGCAACAGTGAGTCAGTTGTCCTTGTTGGGTGGAAATCAGTGAAACTGACCCACTG